GATAAATTAACGAGAGTGAAAATACGTTAGCCAACGGGTCCCATGTATCGGTGTAAAGTGGCAATTTACCTATATCGGCGACAACCATGTCCTCGACGGCATCTAGCTCGTGAAGAATTTCTCCCCAAGGGTTGGTTAACTGGGTATGCCCCCACGCGACGTAACCAGGCGGAGAACCACGAGCTGGTGATACGCAAGCGACGTATAATTGATTGTCATTTGCTCTGGAACGCTGCAGCAACGACCAGTGCAGTGGTCCCGTGGTCATATTGAACGCTGCTGGATATATCAGCATTTGGCAACCTGACCCACAGAAATAGGAAATATGTACACTCCGAATACCCTGGCTATTACAGTAATTTCTCAGTCCGCGTTCCGCGACTTACTTTAACCCCCGATGGTCCTCTATGGAAGCAATTCACATATTTGCCTACCTTAGCTTTATTTCAAGCATGACATTGAATTGCTATTATACTTGTATTTTTAATAAGGGTGAGCCATATAAGGCCACGCGGATAACTCGTTTATTTTTAAAGATAGGCAATCCCTTTGCACTATGCTAAACTATGCTTCTGCCTTCTCCACAAAATAACTATAAATTCTGCCTTAAACATTCTTTTCCATCTATAAAAATAAACGATTTATTCGGGTGACCTGTCGTAAATGCCCCACCCTGTATAGAACATAAGCGGATCATCCTTTAACACCCGTGTATCTGGCTTACACCAATAATACGGTTATTTTACGTTAACTTTTTACGTTCACTATACCTCTGTTTCGGTAAAGGCGTGCCATTTCTTCGAACCTGATGTCATAGCAAATGCCAACACCTATTTTGCACCCCTTCGCCTCGAACATCGTTAACGAATCGCCGGGACTCAACGAATCGCTCTCACGGAAAGTCATTTTCCCTTTGATGTCGATGTCGAATAAATGCATCTTATAACAGAGTTGTTATTCTATTTTATTAAATCGATACTATCTCTGTTACTTTATCGAGGATTTATTTACACAGTGGAAGAAAATGATACCCCCTCCCCCCCCTCCCCCCCTCCCCACTGTGTCTAAGTTCGTTGGAACAAAAGCAAGATTTGCTTACCTTCCTGTGCTTCGCTATCAGAGTACCATCAGGCGCCCAAATGGTGCACGTATTGTACAGTTTATCGGCTTCTCTTTCAGGTATCGTACCACCGATCACATACAGTTTATTCTTTTTGGCCGCTTCTGAAAGTGCGATACTTGTTTCGCCGTTGGGAATGCTCTCAGCGTATTTTGCAAAGTGTGCTACGTCGAGAAACATGAATAAAAAAGAAATATATATCAAACCTCTTTGACAAAAAGCTTTCAACTCTTTTCGTTGCAATTATAGGGACATAAAAATATATAAATGCAAGTTTTTCCATTTGAGAACAGTAAACAATATATATTTTTATTATTTTCAATTATGAATTATCTTTAGATCGATAATTTTAAGTTTGAATATTTTAAGCTTAGCGCCAGAAATTGCAAGTACATCAAATTCAAAACAAAACTTCAAGATGAATATTAAATTCATGAATTCAACAAAATTGCGTTCTTATTCTATTCGATTAAACCTTTCTTAATTTTGATTAATTAAGAAAACGTTTTGTTATAAGAAAGTATAATCTTTTTCTGGATAGATTATCAATCTAACCAGAAACATTTGAATACAATGTTCTAACACGACTATGTCTATACTCGATTATTTAAATTCAGAATTAATTTCTCAAACTTCAGACACTTAATTTATAATTCATATCACATTATTTAAATACTATGAATATTCAGTTAATTAATAATCGAACAGTATTAAAATAGTATTTAAATTATATTCAATTCAGTTTACCGCCATATTCGAGTCACTCAACGACTTCGTCGGTACATTTCAAAGTGCGAAGAGGATTTTGTGCAGCGTCGTTCTCTCGACAAAAATTATCACAAATACCTAATAATATTCATCAAAATTACCAAAATGAACCTTCTTTGCTATCCTAAAGTGCTTAACGTTATCAAAAGTGAGTATTTGACAAGAAACGTGATAATTAGAAGCAGAAATGAAGAAAGAAGCATCATGGCCTTACTCTCTCGTTCAACGAATCATCTCCAGTTCACGCGAGCAAACTCAAGCGATGTGGTAAGTGCATTTTTGTAAGTAAAAATCAATTTAAAAAAAAATATATTAAGTATAAAGAATGATAAAAGAATATTACATGTTCCGTATGGTGAATTGAAGCATTCAGGTAGAGCTACAATGTCAGCCTCTTGTTGCTTCGCGCGTTCGATGTACGAAATTGCTCGTTGTACATTCGTAGTTTTATTTTCGCCAACGGCGAGCTGTACTAGTGCCAAACGAAGTGCTGAAAAGAATATTAGAAAAATCAAACACTTTTCGTACCATATTATACCTTCTACATACGAAATTCATGTATTTCGTGTGCAATATTCTAGAAAGAAATAAGTGTACGTACTCGACATTGTCCGCAGTCCTTGTTTCACGATGTTCGTTCGTAGCATGATACTCTTTAAGGTTATGTACGCTCATTATCAAGTATTACGTAAGCATATTTCCATATTTCCAAATAATTGCAATCTAGTAATATAACTAGTTAAAAATAACGATTTCAATACATCAACTTATACTTACTGTAGGATCTTTTAATGAACTGGGGGAAGAACATACATTTGTAAAAATAAGTTTTTATTATAAAATGCGTATAAACAAAATTGTACAATTTTTCACGAAAGTAAAACACCAGAGCTTCTCTGTAAAGTGTTATCGTCTACTGGAAGATCGAGATTTTGATCTTCTTCGTTTTTTATGTTTTCGTTTGTCCATAGAATCTCTTGATTTTCTGTCCCTCGTTTTCTCCCTTTCTTTATCCTTTTTCTTATGCTTCTTACTAGTCCTTTCCGAGGAATTGTCACGTTTCTTGTGCTTCTTCAATTTTTTTGATTTTTTCGCCTTTTTTAATTCGTAGGAGTCGCTGCTACCAGATCTGCTCCTCTCTTTCCTCCTTTTTTTCCCATGATCACTAGTGCTATCGTCATTGCTCTCAGAGTCTGAGTGTCTTTTCCTACTTTTCGATTTTTTTTCATCTATTTTGCTATGTTTCTCCCTTTTATGCCTAGTATCTTTCTTTTTTTTTTCATCAGCAGTACTTTTGTTGTCATCTTCGCTACTTTCAGATTGTTCAGGAGAAGTTGATGCTCTTTTCTTAACTGTTTTATGCTTGATATCCTTGGTTTCTTTGTCTTTGTACTCTTCATACTTCTTCGCATCTGAAATCAACCCCATAACATACTAAAGGCTAAAATCTCTATATTTATCGTATGTTTTATGAAAAATAGAGACTTTTAAAACAAATCCTGTAGAAGTTTCTAACTTCAAAAATTCATTTACATTTTTAAATAATTTTCTATAAATATCAGCCTGGTCTTGTTTGTTTTAAAAGTCTCTTAATGGAAAGTAACTGGTCGTACTAACTTAGAACTTTTGCATTTTTCGAATACTCGGACTTAGTTACTGGTTGCACCATGAATTCATTGACGGATATAATATTTCCCCCAAGAGCTAGTTTTATTATAAGTCTTCCTGCATCATCGTCGAATCCCTCTATCTGACCATAATTGTTGCTTTGTTTTCCAGCTATAATTTTCACAAAGGTTCCTTTTTCAATTTTAAGTTCTTCCCCTTGTTTTTTAGAATCTGTACTTTTTTTCTGTAATGTTAGTTTGTCTGCTCCGAGACCCATGCCTTTTGGACGTAATTCTGGTATAACAGCTGACACAATCCTGCAATGATAATAAACCGAACTTATAGAGTGAACAAAGTTCTCCAAGAATCTTCTAATATATATATTAAACATACAGCGACAATTTCATTTAAAATAAAGCGCGTACTTCTCATTTTTACCGATGCCTTTTCCGGGTTGCCACCCCATTCCTCGCAGCATTGCTACTCCAAAAGCATCAACAGGAATTTTTTCATAATCTTCTAATGAAGACTGAAAAAAGTAAAATGATTCTTGTTGTATTATAAATAGAAAGAAAAATACAGAAGATGTAACAACGATATACCTGTTCTGTGCCTCTCAGTGATTGATCCTCTACCACTGGTAAAGTTAACGAGTTTGTTTCAGTTTGTTGTTTTTCATTAGACTTAAGATCTTCAATAATTTCTTTAGCTGCTTGTTCTTCTAAAGTAGCAGTTTTACTTTCGCTATCTTCTCCTGGTTCTTGCTTTATTATCAAATTATCTTTTGGCAATGTGTTTCCATTTGTCAACTCTGGTTTTCCTTCCTGTTTAACATCTTCTATTTCCTCCTTTATTACCTTGGGTTCGAAAATATCAGCATCGATTTTATTAACAATCCTATCATGCCAGGTCTTTGAACCCAACAGAGGAATAACAAGAGGTTCTTCCTTTTTCTCTTCTTCGCTGGAATGAGAAACATTTCTCTTGTAAATTAATGATTCATTAATAGTAAGACCTTCCTTAATGGAGTATATTATAAACGACTGTTACAAAGATGTAAACAAAAAACATGTTCATTGTGTGGTTATTTGTATAGGTTAAGTTTAGGTTACATATTCATGTAAATTACCACTGTTTAACCTACCCTATAACTTTAATATTCTTCTCATCGAGACACTCGATATAATCGATCTTCTTTGGTTGCTGTGACACCAAAGTAGTCTTTAAAATAGGTTTCTTAAGTGATTTTGCGAAACCAAACGATATCTTCTTTCCCTCCTCTGCCATTTTTTCCGTAATCACAACACTCAGACTATAATTAATACATCTAAACTATAAATAAATATCCGCTTAAACTATTTACATCGACCAAAGACTACGTTTCATTAATCGATTTAGAGAAAATTGCGAATTATTTAAACATCTTTGAAGTACTACGTCCACGAACGTTCACGAAAACGTAACGTTGAAAAGTCACTAGCAGATTGTACGCATTTACATGAAACGATCGTTTCCCTTGGAGCCGTGGCTTGATTGGCTGAATTTCTTAAAGGGACGTTCGCAATGCGCTGCGAAATAATTGATCAATTGAAAGGGAATCGAGAGACGTGGATCTGCATAAAATAATACAAAATTAGGGTACACCTGTGATTTTACAAAACTTCTTCTTCGAGGTGTCAAATTATAATGAATTTTCTTTTCTCAACATTTACCAAACTCTGAAACATAATTAAATAGTCACTGGGGCAATTAAATGATTTTACTTCTAGAATTTGTTACATAATAAATTGTTGGTACATGGAGAACTTTTATTTGTCGTTATCCTTGTACTACAGGCTTTTGATTCTACCCTAATTTATGCACCGCAGCGCATGACAGCGCTATTATCTATTATGTTGCTCGCAATTCATTCAGCTCCATTCTATTTTCTGCCCACGCACTCTCCATTCCGCTTTTTCTTTATACTCGATAAATTAGTCTATAAAAAGGCAAAGTGAAAACGATTGCTTGTACACACATTGATGATTCCTGCGATAACAATTTTAGCGACAATGTTTTTCGTTCGTTATGATTGTACGTTGCCAAAGAACTTGTTTGGGGTGTGGCACTCCACCCCTTCAGATTTTCACTTATACAGATCTTGAAAAAATTCACTCGATGAAAAAACATTCATGCCCGGCTCAGATAACTCTTTGAACATATTGAAACACATTCAAACGTTTTACACCGAAAAATCTGAGAAGTTTTGGAAAATGTTCACGTTGCGTAAAAGATGTAGGAAGGTTGTGAAACAGAACGACACCTCTACAATTCACTTAATGTACATCGAAATGTAACTCTGCTGCCTTCGAATGTTCCTCAAAAATCGTCGCGAACATTCCAGTCGTCCCAAAATTTGCCCATCGTGATCTATCGATGTATCTTTGCACGTGCAATCGAAAAAGATGCGAGGTTCTCGTCGCACGTTCCTTGGAAACGGGTTTTCTATAATTCCAGCGTAAAAGGTGTCGGGGTAACCCGTTATTCTACCCGTTTCGATAAACTTGGTTAAACGATGTTCTTCGATCCTTTTGGCGCGTCGCCGAGGAAGCCATTTACTTGTCTATCTTTCGGTGAAAGAACTACAGTTAAAAACGGCGACCAATTGAGAACGGTAGTTAAGGTGTCCCGAGGTAGAGGGGTGAGCGTGTTTCAACGACAACAGCACGGTATGCAGATACGAAGCCAGGGTAAACCGGGAAGCCGTAGTTCGCGGAGCGTAGTAATCGTAGTAGCTTCGGACAGTCAACGACATCCCGAAGCCGCTGACATTCTGGGATTCAGGTAAACTTTGTCTCTCATTTTTAACAATTGACTTTTCTTTCGTGCATCGTTTTCACATCCTATCTCGTCCCTGTTTCGTGCACTACCGATTAAAAATATGTGGACACTTGGCGTTTTTAATAAATCGGTGGTATACAATGGAAGTTATTCTTATACGATTTTAATAAAATAGGATTCCAACGATGTAGTGAAATTCATGAATCAATTTAATACCTTTTCAGACAGTTATTGCGACGAAGTGTTCTCATATTTTTGAGTTTTAATTTCGACAATATCTTTGCGATACGATTCGTTCGTGTACAATTCATGTAATCCGATGCAATAGTATGGATTACATTAAAATAGTGCTTGAAATGGACTCTAAACGAATTAATGGACCTGAAATCTTGTTTATATTTTATAAACGTAAATGCAAATTATTCCCATCTAGAATATTGTTCAAAGACTCGTGAATTCATTTAGGCGATACTTCGATTCGAAACGCGTATTATCAACGAAAAATGGCGTGATTAATTGTCCCCATAAGATCGTTTAATTACGATTGTCATCGTTCTATTGATAAGTCGTTAGACCGATTCACAACTCCCACGACCTTACGGTACTTCTCAGCTGTTGCTCGCCAATTATCGTTCCCCATCGCCGAAATCTCATTCCCAGACCTAGCAATTAAAAGACAGACCGAAATGTAATTGCAAAACAAAACGGTCCGCGTGCGACTGCTAACTGTAAAACAGAGAGCACAACCGTGCGATGCCTATGCTAACGGAGAAGATCCTCCTGAAGATTTGTTCCGCTATGCTAACGTACCTAAGAAGTCCTATTCTTTACTTCCTCGTTCGTCTTTTTTTCGAGGCTGCAACGTAGCTTCGGTTCCTCATACCATGTAAGAAGCACACGCGTGAACCCAACGAGCATGCATGCGCATACTTGCTTTCAGACCTCCCTGGTTCCCGTCGTATCCAAATCGACACGGTTCATCGACTTCTAAATGAATCAGAGATAATGAAGATGAGATAACCTGAGTGCACCTTTTTTTCAAATCGAGGACTTTCCAAGTAGATTCATTACTGCTTTAAGAGGTGTATATTATTACATATACGTAGATTACATTATTTTAATATACATTTCTGAAAGCAGTGTTTCTTTATGATTCTTAAGAGCCAATAAAGTAAATGAAATTAGATTACTTTCCGTTTCAACATTGTCTTGTTACAAGAGTCAGTGTTTTTTAGAAGAATTTTTGTCGATTATAAACAGACACGATTTCAACGCATAGACTGACAATTCTCATAGAAAATTTCGTAACCGGAATGAGCATCCGATGGTGCATTGAACTCTCCCTGTTTCGTCGTTGCCCGAGCCCAAATGGTCGCCTAGTCTATTAGCAACTCGAATTCTAGTTCGATTTCACGTGGAAGAATGCCACCGTAAATGTAGTCGAGTGAACAATCAAGCGACCGGATCTACGTGTTGCCCGGAACTGGGTATAATACCGCGGAAACGGCTGGGAAATTATATTTGTTATGGAGAATCGGGCACTGGCGGTTCCACAGCCGAGGACGATCTCATCTGACTGCGTGGTTACCGGACGGAACGGTCATTAAACGTCTGTCGTCGTGTTTTTAGAATCCTACCGTTTCGGTGAAAGCTTCGACTGTCATTTAAACACACGACCATGTTTACACCGCTACTAACAAAGAATTCCCTCCATAGATAGACTATGTGGTATTTATAATTCTGTTAACCGAATGCTGACATTGTCCCCGTTTCTTCTAGATAAACAAACATGCGTCTGCTCTTCAAAATCTTCCCGTTGCTATCGCTACTAACGGAAATCAACGCAACAGGGATAGGCAAAGCATGGCAGGTTCTTCCTCAGGCTAACGATCATTGGAGTCACTCGTCGTGGCCACGCTCCGACGCTTCCGCGTTTGAAGTTCGCAGCGTGAGCGGCGTGGGACGTCTAGACCCTCTGGAAACCGCCCAGAGGGTCTCAAAATTCGATAAAATCGAACCAAAAAATCTTGCTCTATCCGAGCATTTCTCAAAGGACGCCTCAGTTTCGCGCAAGCTACACGAAAATCGGGACGAAGCTGGCGATGTATTCGAGGACAAAGTCTTCAAGGCGGGAATCGTGATGACGGTTCTACGGCCAGAGAACAGCGGAGATTCGCTGAAAGATGTAAAAGAAGTGAAAGGCATGTCCAGAGTTCGTCGTGACGCGGAAAACGAGACAAAAATGGAGCAGATCGCCAGTTCGAAGAACGTTAGAGAGGTTCGATTGAGCTCACCGGAGACTTGGTCTCAGGTCTCGACTCAGCCGCTATCCGTAGAGTTCTCCCGTCGCGGTGGGTTGGACCAGATGATCCAACAGACAATGGACGACGAGGACACTTCAAATGCTAGAAGCTACCACGCTCCACGCGCTGACTTCGTGACCAGTCATCACAGGAGGAGCTACGATCATCGAGAAGCACGAGATATGCCCGTGACCAGAGGGTACGACGAGTACGACTTCCCCTGGTACAGAAACGCCGTGAGAGAACGGGACTACGACCCTCTGGCCTACCGTCGTGGATACAGCTACTACTATCCCGACCGTTATAGGATGGAGAGAGACTTCTACATGCGTCTGCCTCAGGATTACTCCTATTACTACGATCGATACAGGGACGAGGATATGGACCTCTACGGAAGAAGCAGACCCACCCCCAAACCCAAGAGGATCATCTACTATGCGACGCTCCCAGAGATCGTCAGGAAGCCAGTGGATCTCAGAAACTATCCCAGGCCCTACGACGCGACCAGAACGCCAGTTTCGAGGGATGGCTCCTATAAACGCATTCCAGGGAACGTGGACCCTAGCAGATACAGATACAGACACCTGTACGACGGTTACGATAACTATGCAAAGAGATCCAGCTTCGCAGATCGAACTTACTCTTATCCCGATGACGAGAGTCGACGCAAAACGACGCTGGAGAGTCTTCGAAACAACGACCCGTTCGATCAGAGCACCGATAGGAAGTTGGCTAATCAGATCTCGGTTAGGAACGATGGGAAACTGCCTTGGCCAGTGCAGATCGGGACTGAGGTCAGCGTAAAAGACGATGAAAGGATCCCTGGAAGGAAGATCTTCGGGGAGAATAACGGATACGAGAGATTCCAGAGCGCACAGCTGCAGAAAGCGCCGGATGCTACTGGCTCCAGCGAACTTCAGAGCGACAATTGAATCCTGAACGAATTCTTTTCACAATTTACAGTTGAATCGATGGAAGAATTGACTCGAGTGATCTGTCATTCCTCCTGACAGAAAGAATTTGTTTTGTTATATTAGAACGAACCAAAAGTTTCATCCTTCTTTCTACGTTTACCTCTTCCGAGCCAACTTTCATTACATTTTTCAGGAAGATTAAAAAATCGTACAATGCTTGTAAACGTTGGCATCAGACGATTATTTTGTGTAACTCTTTCCACTACCTGAGTCGATTCTTTCATGGACCCGATTGGAATAGGTAATTTTGAGAAGAAATTTTTGATCACTGTTTTACTTTGATACGAAACTTTTTTTCTACGTAATTTTGGTTGAGAGTATCGAGTATGTTCGTATATCATTCAGGACGCTAGGAAATCGTACTTGCTTTACAAGTGCAAAGTATAATTAAACGTATTGTGATTTACGGAATCTCCGTTCATTTTCCTACTTATTTATCGCTATTTATGAACTATAAACATATTACTCGTGGCGTTTCACGCACTTTATTTAAAGAGGAACGTCGATCGCATTAATATTTTCTACTATGTTATCATAGCGACTCTATAAGTATACTCTTCATTGTACCAAATACATTGTCTAAAGAAACTTACCCAATTTGAATTCCTTTAGAAATATTTAACGAGTTAATATAAAAAACTAAAGCAAATATTCACAGGAATGATTAGAATCGTGTATTTAATTCTTTGAAACAACCAATATACAGCTGAACGATTTTGAAAAATATTTATGGAACTGTTCTCCTTTCGATTACGCGTTACGTTTTCATTTTCTTCAGCGTTTTTCTGAACAAGAACTTTGACAGACTTTCATAGAAATTATTTTTTCCTAGAATTCGGTTCAACTCGATTATCCAAGAGTTAATCTGTTAGAAGTTTTCATCGCGGTATTAGAGAATAATAATATTGTATTATCAAAGTGTGAATTTTTAAAAGAGAATTACCGAATTGAATGTTTTTCCATTGATGAAGCCGGACAGTTCTTCCGGTGACATGTTTAAAATATTACAGGCGGTTTCGTGGGCCTGTTTTTCGCTAGCCTCGTCTTCTTTCAAGCTCCTCTGTGTATCAGGGCCTCCGCGATAGTCGTAAATTTTCTTCAAGAAATCCTAATTGAAAATAATACAGGTTAATGGATTTTATTAATATAAAATTTTCACTTAATTCGAATGTACCCTTATAGCTTTCGAGTATTCCATGTTCCGATCCTCTGCGGTCATCATTTTCATTTTTATAGATTTGATCGTTTCTTCGTACCTGGCTTTCATGAGATTAGTTTCCTGCTGCATCGTTTCTTCGCATTTCTTAATAGGATGTACAATTAACATTCCAAATTTGTAGAAATAGCGGTATAAAATTATATATCCTTACCTTTTCCGCCACGTCTGTCTTCGACTTCTCGTTGTCAGATAGCAACTTATCCTTCTCATTGTTCAGAACTGAAATCTGTTAAACATGGTTAATCGACAGGGATGAACTAAACAAGATTTTTGCTTGGAATATGTACTTTCGCTTTTAATTGCGAGCTACTGGTTTTCGCGGCGGTGATCTCGTTCTCCAAGGTACTTATCTTCGACAGGAGTTGATTCTTTTCCTTGTTCAGATCTGAAAGCTGACTTTTGTAACTGTTCAGTAGGAATCCCTTGTTGGCGTTCGCTGACTCTGATCGCAATAGTCTGAAGTATTTACGAATACATTTATTTACATTCTTTTTCTAACACCAGCTTCGTTTATGTCTCACTTGTTACGAAGTTGAGCGATAGTGTTAAAGTCTTCCTCGCTCTTCTTCTTCAGGTTCGTCAGCTCCCTGCTCCTCTGCATGTCTCGAAAATGAGCAGCGTTGGTTTTCTCGTGGTGCTCCTTTCCCATATTACGCTCCATCCATTCCCGCGTGTCCTCCATGCTCTTTCTTAGCGCTAGGTTTTCCGATATGAGTTTATTCAAGTTGCCCTCTGCAACATCCATGTCTTCTTTCAGCTTGTCGAAGCACTTGCTGATGGTTTCGCACTTCTTCGTTTTGTTTTCCAACGCTCGCCTCACCTTCGTCAATTCCCATTTCAATTTGCTCGATCTCGCCACTGCCTTCCGCAGCTGACAAAATCGAAACGAACCTTGTCTATCACGGTTAACATGTTTCTGCGCTTAAACGTTCGATTTCGAGGTTCGTATCAGATCATTTACCTTCTTATGCAGCTTGCTCGAAATCTTTTTGTGGCTCTTCAGGCGTGTGCGACACTTGAATTGATAACTGTTGCCTCTTTTCTCGGACAACGTACGAGGACCGAAATTTTCCAAAACAGACGTGCAGATGCGTATGATTCTGTCTTGTAAACTTTCGTTCTCTCTGCGAGCTTCTGCTTTTACACTTGCCAAGGACCTGTGGAGAAATCAGGACTAGAACTTACATCGATTATGATATTTAATTATCCAAGTGTCTTCTATAAGAGCGGCATTTTAATAGGACCAAATTGAATGTTTCCACCTTTTATATTTCTCTTTTGTGACCGATTTCATCCTTAGAGCTTCGCTGAGCTCCTCTTTCGTACGTGTGAGTTGTGCCTCGAGGTCTGCTATGGTTGCTTTGTACCTAATGTTACACCAATCGGTTACTAATTGTAAATTGTTCGTTTAAAAAAGCGCGATTAGTATGGTCATTGTCAGCATGTGCCCTCTGACAGCGGCGCAAGGAAGCCGCTTTTTATTTTAGGTTTGTCGAAGGTCTACAAGTTACACGAATTAGACGCTAGATGGCCTCAAGGTTTATTTATCAGCTCAAATTGTATTGAACTCTTGAAAAATAAATTATTGCACCCTAATTAAATATGAATATGTATCCAATATTGTCCGTTTTTTAAATTATAAATCAATCGAAATAGTGCTGATGCAGTTTACAGGCAAACTATTCGATCGATTTGATTGTATAAATTACTCTACAGTCATTTTTATATGTACAAATTTGTTTTCTGGTATACCACACAATTTTTTAAGCGATAAACTTGCTTCAGTTACATCTGACACGCGTTTCGCTGTCTTATTATTTAAAGAATCCAAAAAACGAAGGATTGAAAATGCCAGACACGCTTGGGGCAGTATGGCGTGATTACCTAGCGGAATTTTATCGGATAGTTTTACAAATTCCATTTTATCATTGAGCATACTTTCCAGCGTACAATGTACACTTCTCGCTATGAAATTCCATTAATCCAGTAACAATCGTATCGGCATTTTTTCCGCGAATTTCTGACGGATGAAAAATTACCACACTTTTTTCAATTAAAAAACGCTCGACCGGCTTTTACTCCCTGCGGACTCACTCGGTCTCCTTGCTCGACAATGCTTCCCTCTTCGTCCATCGCTCGCTGCGCTGAGTCGATTCGACGTCGATTTTGCGCGGCGAGCAAAAATGAAAAATTAACGTTAACCATGTTAAAGCTGAGTTTGCTAATTCCTTTTCTATTGAGATATTAATTTCTCGAGATATTATTCTTGTGGTACAATGTTGTTATACATACCTCGGTCATTCCGTTAAGAGCTTCCTCGATCAACCATTGGGGTGCAGGATCCTCTTCGATACTCCGAAATGTCGATGATTTTTTTCGTTCAAAATAAGCGTTTATATTCGTTGGTTGGTCGTCGACTGGCAAGAATTTCTTGCTCGGTGGGAGAACAGTTGAGGATGTTTGTGTGAAAGTAGTCTTCCTTTCGGTGTCGACCTTTTGAACTGTAAAAATGTTATTCCTTAACACGATTATTATAAGAATGTTGTTTCTATTTTACGTAGAATTTATTGCAATTCAACAGTTAACGCAACGCGTTCGATATTTTTTCAGATGTCTTATCGGAGGAGTACTTCATGCACTGGTGATCCGTGCGCTACTGCCACCTGGTGCAGATCTTCCTTTCTCCTGCAGCCGCTTCATTCATCGTGTTGGTAAGTTGATATTAAAATAAAAAATTAACCGCTGAAAACGCTGAATCGGTTAGAAAATTACCTGATAAGAATTATTCGCAACCGAAAGTGAAAGTATTAATACTAAAAATAATATTAAATGCACCAATCCGAGGTTCTAAACTGAAGTGTGTGCCAATGTAGCGTGGATATCCATATTTTTATCAATAGGAACACTAGAATTATCGATTCTCTGTAAGAGGAAATGAAACACGATGTTAATAAAAATGGGTACAGGCTCTGCATCCATCCAAGCTCTTACTCCCCTTGGATACAAGTAATTGAAAATTAGAACCGAGAAGAGCAGCTTTCATACAATTTCTGGAGGAGCATTATTTAAACAAAGGATGTTCTCTCTCAAATTACAGTCATCGAAGCTATCCACCGTCCTCAGACAAAGCGAAACGGGGGAATCGACAGTGTAACAGATACAGACGCAACATTTTTACAAAAGAGAGGGCAGGGACGAACTATCGACGGTACTATCGACGAGACAGGACGAACATCGTTTCTCCAATCTCCTGCGCGGTCGTATTATCGGGTATTATCGAGCCATATGGAATTTGGGCCCGAAAATAGTCCCGTGCAGGAAATTGCTAACGACTTAAACGTTGGGGCGGTGCGCAGAGACCGTGAGTCCTATGGGCCAGGTTGTGATGGATGGAGCTCGACCACACTGTAATTTGAAGGCGTTACATGTGTACCCTAACGCGTAGTTCTTCGACGACCCTCCATATGTCCCCGATTGTCGTCATCCTTAACCCCCCAAGATACTACAGTCAGCGAGAGACGTCGATTCGACAAATTCTTCTTCGATTAATTATTTTTCAAGCGTTCCTCAAACATTATAATCAACATAATATCAAGACCTCACAATCATTCGCGTACGTGGTCTTCTTCAATCGAACGGGAGACCATTGAAATTTGTTTGTCAATTAAATGGCGATGTCGGTAAATTTTCTCTACATTTTAACCCGTGGCATACTAATTAATTTCCACGGTCTAGTACGCTTTATTTACGCGCGACAGGCTTCAAAATTGCAGCGGGCTGCCTTGTATATTTACGCGGGCAGGTAACGCAGACCGTAGCCTGAAAAAATAACCTGGCGCAAGCCGGGACCGACGTTTCGCTGATCGAAACCGTAACGCGCACTCTGTAAATTGATCCCAGACTGAATTGATAGGCGAAATGTTCGAGGCTTTCTTCATTTGGAAAAAAAAAAGAGGAAACAAAATCTCCCGTTTTGGTGAACTAGCTCAGTTTGCGCGATGGTCTGGTCTAGACATTTTTGACACGTTTTAGGACAGGATTGCCGAGGGTTAGGGGGTTAGAAGGGTGAAACACGTTACTGATAAATAGAATTTTTTTAAGCTTGATATCAATAGTATGTGGCACCTAATTTTAATTTTGTTTCGTCATTTTTTGCACTTCGATATTTCTGACTTTCAAACTGTTGCTGAAGAATCGTCTCGATTCAGCCTCATTTCGATAGACGATGGCCACCGAGGAGAGCCTCCTATCTCGCCAAGGCACTATAGGATTATTGTAGATAATATGTGGATAGTTAGTCCGCGATTAGTCTGTCCAACGGATTATATTCCTTCCCTTTTCGTTCCCTGGTGCCCCGGGGGCAGCAGCGCCGTGATAAATGACCGAATCCTTTAGCGTTTTTTAGCCACGGACCGCTTAGCTGATTCGTTCCTCCTCCCCTCTCTCCTGGCAGCCCTCCCGGAACCGTAGACCCGCTGGACCGAAGGTCGTCGGTACAATTTCGCCGTAAATCACTGGAAATCGTTGACGTAAACGGCAAGGGTAATTAGATACACTTACCCGCGGTGAGGCGCGCTTCTTGCGCATTTATGGACCCTCCATCCTGATCCTGGGCCACCGCAGTCCTCTCGGTTCTCTGCAACAACAACAACGACTTGGTCACGGCTGGACGACGCGTTGAATCTCTTTTACGCGAACAGCCTGGATAATTCCGTAGGAAAATTCTCTTATATTATCCAGGCGTTTCTACACAGATCATAAGTAAAGAACGGTGTCGCTAGCCCTATAAAGGCACAGTGCATTCTTTTTTACGATTAATAAAGAAATTTTGCTCGCGCGTTAATGACATTGGAATGAAAATATGAGTTCACGGGAGGGATAAAAGGCGTTGGACCCAGTGCCACTGATTTAAGGGGAGTCCACGCATTAAAACGATAACGATCCAGGCGAAGCACGACGCGCGTCGTTAGGGTGGTCTCGGTCGCGTTAATGACGAAATCTTTCCATCCCCTTTTTTCCTTCCGGCTCCTTTTCCGATGGAACTTCTTACAGCCAAACACCCTCCCCGTTTATCCCTGGCTAAAAGGATTCGACAATAAACAACGACGAGTCTCGAAATTAGGCGTGGGTCGCAATCTACATAAAAAACTCTCGTACTCCGCTATACCCTCGCCTCCGTTTCACCCCCATCCAGGACGGTCAATGCATTAACGATGTTGCGACGAGAAAGTTTGGTCGAAGAAGGGGGGCGATGCGTTTTACGAACTGTGTTTTAATTTTGATAGCGCGGGGTACACCCACTTCGTCCATAAATCCGTGGTTACTTTCACGTCGGGAAAGTTGTAAGTCATCTTGAAAATTAGTCATAGATTGGATGGCGAGTAGACTGGATACGTTTCACGGGATTGTAGACCGTCATCTGGAGGGAATTGGAAAAGTATCCAGCAAGTTGCGGGTTAGGGAAACGGATAGCACGTGCATTAAGAGGAACGAGCTGCAACGCGTACTCCTGTTTATTACTTTCATGTGAAAGTGGTCAGTGGTAATAAGTGGTCATTTCTAATCGTTCATGGTCGTTTCTTGGCTATCTTTTTTTCTTTACGGAGCGAGCGCCGTGCGACGATTTCTTAGAGAAAAATAAAGGACAGTCGACGATCGATTTCCGCATGCGGATAGGTACTAAAGAATAATTAGTATTTTTTATACAGGGAAAGCATCTTTTAACGAAGGCATAGTTTTTTCCAACTCAACTATGTACCAGCATCGACGATATTAATTTCTCGTTCAAAAATTAAAACGTTTAATAGTTTAAATACGCTAGTAAATATTGTCCATCGACGATAATTACACTCGGGATCCCTCGACCGCTTTCACAAATATTTCATTTCAACTCGGACGAGCTGAAACTCCGATTGGCCGACCGAGCCACTTTCAAACGGCCAAGCAAACGGAGTTTTAGAATTCCGTTTCCAAGTGGACCTCTCCCCGCGTATGAAATTTACATGGCGTACGGCGTGATGTTTTAGCAATCCAGCTTCACTGTATTCGTATAAGATTACGTTATAATAATTTTCATCGTTGTAGACATTGGAAAATTGAATTCTTTGCGAAGGTCTTCTTAACTCGAGTTAGCAAAGCGTTAGTCCTGAAATCGTCTTCTGCGTGGCTGAAAGCGAAACGGAAACGCAATTGAATTAGACGTCTTGCGATCAGTCAGGGACGCAATGAAATCACTTATCGTTAGAGTCGACGTAAATGTCGCTGTTAAATTACAATTTAATGCCGTTCGTGAGTCACGAGCGCGAGGACCTCAAGCGACCAATGGATCGGATCGCGCGCAGGATTCCGCGGAAAACCGACAAATGCGATTTTAATGTCAAGCGGACCGTATTTTCCACGGGCGTGTCTCTAACGACCCAGCGCGATCGCCCGCGGCTACTCGTGCCATTTTGTAACGTTATATTCGTCCCAGGCTTCGGTATTCACCGCTACTTCGCGACTCATCTATTATAAATATGACCTAACGCAGGCAGACGTCGCGCGTGGTGGCGAGTGACATTCTTCGTAACACAGTCGAAGAACCTTGGAACCGAGATATAGAGGAAGAGTTGGAGGGATTTTCTAAATTGGAAAATCAGTGGAAACGCATTCAGATATTCCAAATAAGACACCCAAGAGGTAGAGCCGAGGCGTCACCAGGTGTACAAGGTCCAAACATACTCCGTCTCGGTCCAACTTGTCTCATCGTTCCGAACCATTCATTACCTTTACTCTCGCTTCGGTCGAACACGCTACCTCGCGAAAAAGCCCAGCAACATTTCGTTCTACTTTCATCAACGCGATTAATCATCCGTCCCGAGACATGGCAAGTCGGAGGCCACGGGGTCGAGCGTTAATTTCGAACAAAATCTGGCCGTCGGGTGGTTTTTGCCGCGCGTCCACCGCCAATAACACGATCCTCGGAAGCGTCGTTCGACTCGCAGGGGGAGGAAAACGCCAAGTGCATATCGGTTCCCTCGTTTCATCGGGCTCTCCAACGAGAGTACACCTATAATTTGTAACGTGGCTCGGGTACCGGCCTAATGGAAATTGCGTTTCGGCCAATTTTACGCGCAGCCGTCAGGCCAGGTTGTTGGCCGGTGCAAGATGAACGGGATGAGAGCAAGACGAGAGGAGAACGGAAGAGAAGGAGACCGCGAAGGAGACGCACGACTCCGCGAAAGCTGGCCACCGAGATGGGGCTCTTTAACCCTCGAACGCGTTAGAGCTGACCAAGTGCACGTTTTCGCGACACCAAAGAGACAATAACACAGGTGTTTGAAAAATTTCTGTGTTCTCTCTCACCTCACGACCAGACTTTAACACTAACGTGACGATGAATAACTAACGGACGATAATGGCGGCCAAACGTCACGTAAAATGCAAAACGTTGTTCAGAGGGTGGCAGTTTGCTGGGCGGCAGGGAACGACAGACGAGTGTGTAATATTTTTCATTTGCACCAGCGCGTCTCTGACAAATTTACAGGGGGAAATTTTCTCTCATCCGTGCACGTCGTGTATGCGCGCGTATACGACGGGAATTATTATGGGATCGCGTGCAACGATGGCACTGGATAGAGGGATGATTAACGGTTACGCGGTTCGTTCAGTTTTCCAAAGACAATTGTTTAACTCGTCAATATTGAACAACGTTCAATTAGGGGCGTATTGAAATGAACACCGCGAAACGGTTCTTGGCCCGACGCTGATACAGCGATACCGCGTCGGATTTAATTCGCTCACACAACGCTCTCTGGAATCCGTAAATGAAAATCTGTCGGCGGGGCCGCGGAATAGATACACACGCGCGGAATATCGAATAACATTTATTTGTCGAAGGGACGCCGAGCAAAACGCGAACGGGAGATGCGTTCTTTTTCCATATCAGCGCTCTGGTTCGTCGCAATTTCAGCGCGCACTGGATCCATGGGCCGACGAATACGAAGTCGTCGGAACAGGAAATCCTTCATCGCAATGCTTTTTTCATGCAATCTTTGGCGACAATTAGTCCCAAATGACAGAGTGATGTCAGTGTCTACTTCGAAACTAGGAGACTTTAAGAAATCTCGGAAGACTTCGGCGACTCATCGACGCTTCCGATCTTCTAGGATTCCCAATCGTTTTTTCTCGATCTCTCGGTGGTTCTAGATGCTTTCTACATTGAAATTGCCGTAGACCTCGCGAAAGAAAGAGAGGGGCGATCGAACGGGTACCACGTATTCGAGGACGCGGACGTCGAACGAGGAGGAAAAGGACGGCACCGCCGGACGTATCTTAGCCTCCTCGGCATCGTAAGCGAGTAACAAGCCAAGCATTCTCGGACGTAAAGATGTCTCGGCAGTCGGCTCACGGTTATATCTTCATTATAAGGCAGGCAAAGTTACGTACTGCCGCGGCGGCCTCGTGGTGCTCAAAATTATGCGCCGCCCGCAGTTATCATTGCCTTCAGGGTCAGCCGCACGAATAATTGGCTTCCACCCATATAATACTCTCTCCATACGTACGTACGTTACGTTCTGCCAACGTCCCACGATTATCGTCCATTCTAAGCGAACCAGCGCGCCCCGTTATCGAATTAAAAAGCTCTGGCTCCGGGACTGGCTAACGGGACGCTGATTCGTCGGATTAAATTGGAATTCGCGTTGTTTCCGCGCGATCCATCTCACGGGGAGGATGAACGTTTCGTCGAAGATTGAGCCGAGGTAATCGCGGGCACCAGCTCTCGTTGCTCCTCTTAAAACTCGAATCGCTGATTTATGGATATCGCGATGAAAATTCAATTCGCGGCGGTTTACGAGCCTAGAAAAAGTGGGAGATCGACGAAGCGTGAGCTTTGACCAATCTTCGCTTGGGCTCGATCGAGTTCTATGGCGAAACGGGACTCCTTACGGCTTAGAATCCTTTTTATTAAACGCTGTTAATCCCACGATGGATCTTACAGAAAATTCAAGAAAATATCGGTCTAACAAAATGTGCAAAGCCGTAGATTATTCTTTTTCTGCATGTTTGGCGTTGCTATTTCACCTGTTTCTTTGCGAGGAACAGGTGAGTTTATCGAACTTTCGGGTGCAGTGTCTCGGGCGATCCGTAGCGCTCGCGTTTTCTTAGGAAACGAACGGAATGCATAAGTATTTCCGGCGGTGTTCCACGGAGCCGCGGAGGGAGGATTCTCTCGCGGCGACTTCCGGTTGGGAGGCGAGCTAGTGTCCCTAATTACCGTGTCGGTTCATGAATACGATTGCCGCCGCGCGACCGTGCCTTCGCCGCGGCACGGAAGCTAGCGTGGCGTCACCGGTTGTTACTCCGCTCATGAATTTATGTATCTGCATTCTCCAACGCAGTTCGAGGCACCCTGATGAAGAAGAAGAATCGTCCTCTGCCGCGGTCTGCCCGCTTCCTTACCCTTTGGTACGCCTCGGTACCCTCGAACGATGTCGCGGATTCGTGGCGGCCGGATGAGTCCCCCGGTTCCCCGCTGCTTTATGCCCTGCTTCGCCTACCTGGAACCGTCTGTCATTTTTTCACTTTGCGATAAAAACACGCCGATACTCCTTTGTTGATCTCTGGGTAGGTCTGGTTTAAGTGTCTTGTTTCTGG